TGAAAGCGTTACAACCAGGGTGAATAACGGTCGAGGAAATCCTCGACAGGGGGTCGTATTTGCTCCGATGAGAGTTGGGAGGGGGTCGTAATCAAAAGGGTCATCAACGGACACAACGGTGCTGCTGCCACTTATTTGCTGTCATCATTACTTTCACAAGTGTTGTAGTTAGCCTAATGCAAATAATATCTTACACCTGTCTGGAATTAAAATTCAAAAGAAAGTGTGTGTTGGTTTGGTTCGTAGTGATCAGTGTGGCATAGGAAGGCAACGCGTCCTGCAAAAGAATCGTAGGGAAAGGGCAGCGAGTATCTACTCTAGAATGATGTACATGCTTCGAGAAACTTAGTGGAGGAACAGCATCTTGGTAGAAAGTTCAAAACAGGCAGATTCGCAGCCTTCTTGGCATCATCAGATCCTGCAACCGCAAGCGTGTCATTCATCAGAACGGGTTGGAAAGGAAGCGATTTGAATAAAGGAATGATCAGACATCACTATGACCACAAAAGTTGTCTAATAATAATACTGGAAATATCTTTGTCGATTGGAGGCGCAGTCGTCACTAGGACAAAACACCTTCCCAATGACTCCGAGTGGGGTCACTGCATGGCGCATACAAGAACGGAATGGACCTGTGCCAAGTGCATCATTTTCAATTTACTCCATCGAACTGACGTGTACAGAAGCATTTTGAAGGTGTTCAAAGATAAACAGTGAGAGTAAGCAAGCAGCCGCTTACAAAGACCGCAGGGGTCGGAGCTAAAGACGCCATGGCCGCAATGCGCGTTGGCATTCGAGGGCGGGTCAGCGGCTGTCGCATTCGCGACACCGTTGTTCGAATCCTGGAGCGGCACACCCAAAGCCTACCCAGTCCTCCATCCCTTTTGTTTACTAGTTACAGAATCGTGTGCATCAAGCGATCAAGCACTCCTCTCCATTTGAAGTATTTTTCTTCAGGCCAAATACGCATTCGCATGCCACTACTGATCCGATCGCAGAAAAGAGCTCTCTAACTCATAGTCAGCGCGTTACTGTCTTACTGATCATGATGGGCTATCTGATAAGTTCGTCGCCATGACATTTCATTAGCAGAAAAAAGAGCCAGCCTGGAAATCAAGTGCATGCAAAATCCCCGTCAAGCAGTCGACGTCAGCGTCTGAGTGCTTCCAGAATGTTGGAAGCTGGAGGCACTCGAGTGGGGCCGCACTCGCGAAGTCGAAGAGTGTCTTACAAAGCTTATCCTCCGTCTCGCAGGAGGCGCAGGAGGGCATGAAGGTGTAGCAATATTAGATCACGGTCAATTAGCGCTGTTTTCACCGCGAAGAAATGGTTGTCGCGATAGTCATTGGAGTTTTCAAGGTAGAATCACAACCACCTCAAAATCGTTTGACAAGGAACTTTCTCTTCGCACTCCAGACTTGATTTTTGCAAGTTCCCTCTGTGAAAGTTGAATGTACTTTCGCCTATTCAAGTGGATCTCGTGTGAATTGGATTATGGGTTGTGCTCTCGAAAGGAATTTTATAATTGGAAAGGGTTCGCTTACCTAGCCCTTCTCACTAGTCCACCATCTCCTCCTCCAAAGCTTCCGTGTAGACCTATGTCGAGCCTGAGCATTCGATCAGCAAATTCCTGAAATTCACTTTGATTGAATCATGACACCAAAGCAACTCAACCAGAATTGGTATTTTTTATTAATATTGGAAGGAAATGTTCAATGTAATTGCAATGCAGATCCCAGCTGTTTCTACTTCTCCAGTATGCTGTAGCACTTGCTAAAAAAGTCTTTCAGGTGCTCCGGTTTTGAAAAAGGGTCTTTTGCATGACATAAGGGCGCATAAATAGAACAAGAACTATGGCTCATTTTCCCTGAGCGATCCTCTGAGTGCCAATAATAGGCTAAAGAAAGTTGAAGCGTTATACCTCTCTGACAGCATTTGGCAAAAACACGTTGATATAGTTACGGTGATATGGTATGGTGAAAAATATGGTTAAGGTGGTGTGGTAATCATTAGCAAGTTAACAAGTATCTACTGCTTCACACTTGGACCCCGTATTTATAATATATTTCCGTATTACGGATCTCGTTAATACAACCAGTAGCCCCCTACAGCCATTTCCGAGCAGTAGCACACAGAAGCGATCAACCAAAAGTACTGACGTGGCGAAAAGCTAGCTACGAGTATCTTGGAACGCGCCATGCACTGGTTACATGTTTGGAATCGCACAGGCAGTTGAATGCGTATTCAATGCAATTAACCGTGAACTCTAGTCGAAGTTTTATCTACTTTTCAGTTTTCCGCTACTTTAAGCTTCCACGCTACTCCCTCTTTCGAAGATACATCACATAGTAACTCTTTCGCTATGTCTTGAATGAAAATGAAATGAAAATGAATGAATATCGCACTTTTTGTAGTCAGAGATAGAGTTATACGATTACTTAAAGGCAAAAGTCGGGCTCAATAAGGGGGTATTATGGCGATTGAAACTGAGTATAGAGATGCGAAGTAGAACGACAGTGGAGAAAAAACTGAGAAAAACCGTCGACAAGGCCGTTAACAAAACCCTCTTTCCCACTAGCAATGAAGGAGGCTGGCTTGGGGAAGAGGCACGTACAAACAAGTTTTCTGAAGATATCAGTCGTTCTATCGGTTGATACGGCAATCAACCTAGCTGATTTCACACGTTATGCCAGCCACGCACCACATCCCAAGGTGGGCGGTCGTAGCGGGGCCAGGCGGCGATAGCGCATAGTACAGGGTGTCCCAAAATTATGGGCGCCTACACACAGCAATATATTTCAAGCTTCTAAACGGACGATGCTGACTGAATTTACACATAAGGTAAATTGCATCATCCCCAACAATGTGGAACAACTAGATATCGAAATACTCTCCAACGCGACTAATGCAAGCTCGAAGTCGCTTCTTAGGCTTCGTTGCACGCAGGAATTCCTCGTCTATTTCTTCTCAGGCTTCCTTCAATGTTCCTTCCAGTGACTCGAACTGTGACGAAGAACTTGACACACCTTACTTTCGCTCAACGACCACACTAAGAGGTGAGGTGGGCGCGAACCTGGTGAAAATGACGGCCGTTCCTCGGTGCCAGCAAAGTCGGGCAACTGAACTCGGCACCACACTTGGAGGAACTTGGCCATGTAGGCCTGAGCACTTTTCTGCTGGAAACAACTCGGGTTATTTCCAAGGTAGGACTCGTGCCGAGCCTTCATTACGTTCACCTCAAGTGTCCGGATTTGCTGATGAACTTACCGAAATCAAAGGAAAACTAACGGCCCCTTACCACTGGACGTGGTGTTCCTTTAAACCGAAATTGAGACCAAGTTCGGTGATTTGCAAACAATCTTTTAGCGTGGAGTAGCACTCCTGACATTTCTGCCCGGAATGCAATCTTTCTGGCTATTGCCAATCCGCTCTGCTATGGAAATTTTTTCCTCATAAGAAAGGGTGGTAGGGTGCGTGTCCTCACTGAGGCGGGTGAGCAACCTTCTGCAATCTTTGACCCTCTGTTGCTTGTTGATATCGAAAATGAGCTGACACTCCTGCATATGGTAGGAACGGCTATGTAGTTCTTCCATTGACTACCTTTCCCATCGATGACTTCGATTCCTCCAGCTCCTCCGCCATTCTTCTGAAGGAGCGTCGTGGGTCGCGGTCAATTTGAGAATGGAACCTTTCAGACACCCTTCCGGCAGAACGGCCAGCCTTTCTACCTCTCTTAGGCCTATGCATAATGGACGCTGTTTCCTAGTATCGTAGGATAACCTTCCGTATAACCCTTGTGGAAACTACAAAATATTTGACATTGTCCTTCATTGGGGTATCCACCTCGTGCATGCGAATGATCGCAGGTCGCAGTGAAAGACCTCCCGCCCTCCTGAAGATAGTAGGGATTTCACACCTACAATCAAACAGGTTACAAGAGGACCTTTGTGTGTAACTAATCATCAGCAAATGAAGGGAGAATAATCGAGTACTTTTGCCAAACAAATTTTTGAATTTCGGCGCCCATAATTTTGGGACACCCTGTACATGCCCTGGGGCCTTATTACTGCGCCGTTTCGGTTTTGAGTGTGGGAACATCTCTACGGGTGCGTAACCAAGTACAGGCATGACCGAAAGGGTTGGTTTTTCAACTAATCCCGATCGTATAGCTCAGAACATTGAGGGAAGTTAATTCTGAAAGCAGACCAAACTGTCGACCAAGCCGTTTCACAGTTAGATATGCATTGTATACGCATTCGACTACCTATGCGACTCCGAACCCCCGGTGTCTTCTCGCGGCTCCCTTTTAATCCATTGGCGTTCTAACTTTCCTTTTGTTTTTGAAACCACTATATCTCGCGACCCGAAGATCTCATCTGAGCGCAGTCGTGTCCAACCTGCCAGTGGCACGCTTGCGCAAGACCTTCTTCGTTTGAAAGTCGGCGCCCTGTATTTATTAGATACTATCTTTACGCATCGTCATGCATCCAGATTATTTGTCATAAGACCGGCGTCTATTTAGAGGATCGAAAACTGGTGTGAATAAGTATTTACGCCTTTTTATGACGCTATTACAATAAGAAGTAGCAGTTGTAAAGTAGTACTGCTAGCAAAGTTTTTGAAGTACTTGTGTACGAGAACCGCAGATATTATCTCATCCATAAATCGTTGGCTTGAGATCCATCCCTCATGATGAAAGTAAACCGAAAGAAAAAATGAAGAAAAGCGTTCGCGTTCGATTTCTCTATAGAAAAATTTGAAAAAAAGCTATTGCCTTCAAATTATGTCGTATATCTGTTAGACTAATGGCGGAACGAAACCATTCGTTTCTCGAATTACAGAAAAGAATTCTAAGAATTCTTTTCAGGTCCCTCACCTATGGTAAGAAAATTTAAGTTTTTATTACGCGATATGGTTCTCAAACGTTTTGCCTCTGCTCTACGAATTCGCAAAGAGCATTTTGAATATTTCCTGCCATAGGTTGTCTAATACTCAATTGTAATATCCAAGTTCGATAAAGGTGCTCAAAAGCATATAACACAGAGCGACTCGTCAGAGTCGAAGACATGAAAGTTAACTGTTCGAACGAACCTTTCCGTAAGTACTCACGAGGAACTCGTTGAAAGTCGGTGAGAAAAGCGAGACACATGGATGGATTACGGTAACTAGAAGCAACCAAAGAGCCCGAATGAAGAGGATGGTCATCATTGGATGATGTCAGACGAGACTGCACGCAACAAATGAATAAAACCGGACTTGGCCCATACGCCCATGCCGTTTCAGTGCAGACATCGCACAAAAGAGGTTTCGGTTTTATTATTTGTGGAAGATCAAATTTCATGGAATGTCAGCTCCACGGATCTTGTACACCAATAATCAAAGAACTCTTTTGTTCATATTCGCTTGACTCTCCTTTTATTAAGGTCTCAAGCGCCTGTAAGTTGAGAAACTGAGACTAGGACGGGAAGGCTGCTACCCTAGAAGTGGGTAAAGGCTTAAATGAAGAGGATGAAGGCCTAAACATTTGTTGTTGGTCTGACCCTTCTGGGGTAATCCACGCATTCCGCTCCAATGCAGAATTGCAGTGTTTTATCGTATCAGAATTAGGCTATACAGACTTGAGGAAACAGCCAAGGTAAGAGTCAGGGCTTCATCCTCACGGACGATTCGTTTACCAATTAGCGGATTCCCAGAGATAGAAGGCGTTGTTGGTCTGGAAACTAAAATGACAACTCCCAGTTTTGATTCCCGAATCGTGCTCCTAAGCAGCGCCACCTGCCACAACCTTCCCTAATTGAATGGGAAGATATCTGCAATAGCAATTTATCTCCCATCGCAGCTTGTCCTAAGCTTTTTGAATTTGTTATCAGTCATACGTATCATGTGAATCATTAACTTTGAGCAATATCATCTTCTACATGTATATATTTATTCATTCACCTCACTATTGTCCATTTTTTGCTCAACCTGGTTAATATTATATATTCTTGTGTTTTTAATTGTCTTGTTTAATTGTCACTGTTCTTGATTGTCAACAATAGCTAAATAAATAAAAACATCCTGTAGCACCTGTCGTTGATCATTCGAGTGCGTCGAGCGGGCGCAGCAACGTTCCAGTCGTCCTGTCGGTGCAGGTGTCAGTGGGACCCTTCTCGGAGGACACGGGTCCTTTATCCTTTCGTCAGGTTTCGTGGAAGAATTTGCCTCGCCGGCGGTCGTCCAGGTGTTCGTTTGACGTCCCGAGGGATCCAGTCGGTAACCGCTCTGGTCCAACGGTCATCGCAAAATCGCATGACGTGTCCGGCCCACCTTATCTTCGATTCCTTGGCGAAAACGGCAGCGTCCCTGATCTTCGATCGTTGGCGTAGTTCGGCACTCCGGATTCCCCTCTGCACTTGCGTGTATAGGGTTACTCCTAGCATCGTCCTCTCGACAGCGCGTTGGATAACGCTGACCGCATGCTCGTCCTGCCTGCGCAGAGTCCAAGTCTCTGAGGCGTAGGTTAGGGCAGGAAGGACAGCGGAATCGAAGAGGTGGGCACGGAGCCGGATGTTCTTCGTCTTCTTCACTACTCCCTCGATGTTCTTATACGCTCCCCAAGCCGCTCGTTTCCTCCTGCTCAGCTCTGGAGCTAGATCGTTCATCATATTGATTTCCCGACCTAGGTACACGTAGCTGGAGCATTCGGTGATGTTCGTTCCGTTGAGCGTGAATGGGGCATCAGGAACCAATCCGTTTCTCATAAACATCGTCTTCGTTAGGTTCAGCTGTAGACCAACCTTACCACAGGCGCAGTCGAAATCAGCCAGCATTCGCTCCGCTTGCTCGATGTTCGGCGTTATAAGAACGATGTCGTCAGCAAAACGAAGGTGGTGTAGTTGCCGGCCGTCGACCTTCACTCCCATGTCTTCCCATTCCAGTTGACGCATGACGTTCTCGAGAGCGGCGCTGAAGAGTTTGGGCGAGATGGTGTCGCCCTGTCGGAACCCCTCTCTTGACGTCGATGATGACCTCCTTGTAGAATGGTGAGATTCTGGTCGTAAAGTTGCTGTAGAGCTCACGAAGATCGATAAATAAATAATAATAAAAATAAAAAATAAAAATAAAAATAATAGGCTCCTATGTAAGAGTAAGAACGGACAGATGAACGAAGAGGATAGACGTTCCCCAAACGCAACTCATAACGTAACCCTTCCTAGTGTGAGGAGGTTTTCACTAAAACACTTCAAGCTTTCTCAGTGTACTTTAGATTCTGCCACGGGTTTGTGGGTGGAAAATCGCTATTGATGTACTAACCGAGTTTGGCCCTACACTCCAGCGGTGGAATTTGAAGCCTTCGAAAACGAGTGAAGGTCGAAGCATCGGCCGCGTTGAAGCTTTCGCCTACAAACCCTGTGGCAGAAGCATGAAGTACACAATAACTTTTGCTAGAATCTTTTGAATGTTTCGAATTTTCAAGTTCTTTCATTATAGTTGCGTCATATGGTGCGTACCATGGGGCAGTTACCGTAAGGCATAGAAATCCAGTCGGTAATCGCTTCGTTCCAACCGTCATCGCAAAATCGCATGACGTAACCGGCTCACCTGATCTTCGATTCGTTAGCGGATGCGGCAACGTCCCTGATCGCCAGTGGTTGACGAAATCCCTTCTGCACTGCTTGTACCGTGTTAAGTTCAAGTTTTTCAAGACTGAAGAAGACATTGCCGGAACAAAACACCTTCACTACCCGCGCTTTAGAATGGAATTATTTTGTATGTTATGCAGCTAAACTTAACTATATTACACTTATTTGTAAATTACATAACTAAAATCCCTTCACCATTACTTTGGTTAGAATTTTGTTCCTAGGATTTGGATTTTTTTGTTTTTCTATTTTCTATTTTATTCTATTTTTATTTTTCGAAATTTTTCTATTTGAATAAATCGTGGAAGTTCAAAGGGTCCTTCGGACCAGGGTCAACCGTCACGTTCGAACATTTTCGGGATTTTTGCGACCCCCTAGCTCTCGAGGGGGTCCAGTTGCGACCCCCTGTTTTTGTTAATAAGAGTGCTAGACATGAATCCGCCGAGCGCGCCAGAAAGCATCTGCGCGTTGTCCTGTCAACTTTGAAGGCCCATAATATCTTTCGTATGCGACCTTTTGGAAAGCTGTCAAAAGTTTCAGAAACTTCAAATATTTCTCTATCAAAACAGTATAAAAAGTTTAGTGATTGACCCTTTTTCAAAAAATTGTCCCGTTCGAACATTTTTCGTGCAAAAGCGAGTTTTTGGGCTTTCAGCGACCATAACTCACTTCATTTTCATTTCTGTGATGCACTTTTTTCATGGGGTGAAAGTACAGGATTTGCTCTTTCTAACAAGTCCAAACCGTTTTTCAAAATCATTTTCCGAGAAAATCACACGTTCGAACATTTTGTTCCCATAGGTTTTTGAGCAGCACATGCGAGTTTTTGAGCTTTCAGCAATAATAACTTCCTTCAAAGAAGCTTGTTGGGGAGGGCGAAGACATTTTTGAAGACTACGAGATTTCTGCTTCTTATGTGTTTTACAGTTGTCTGGAAGAATCGTCCTCAGAAAATTAGGTCCCGAAGAACTTTAATTTCAGCCCCGAGAAGTCAAACCTTTCATAGGATGCATTCAACTGTTCTTTATTCCTCAAGGAAAACACCGTAATTTGCCTAAAACTGTCTCTCTGTGCATAATAATCGAATCTAATGCGGTCTGCACAAGCAAGTCTTGCCCTCGGATACGCCACGCACGCGCCTGTGGCTGGCAGTCCTCGAAATTGCGACCCCCTTCCGACCAAAATGCGACCCCTTCGTTCGAACAGTTCGAACGGACGGTTGACCCTGGTTCGGACATCGTTTCGCAGGTGCCTTCAAACGGAGACTATGCAGTTGAAATGCCCGTCTACTGTGCTCATCAATAAGCTATGAGAGGGTCAATGAATTCAATTGCAACCAAATTTTTTTTAACAAAGTATCGAGGCGAAATCAATTGACTTTATAGTTTGTTAGTGTTGAACATGTTGACGACATTGCCCGTTTTGACTTTTTCCCACGCGCCAAAAAAGTCAAAACGCGCAATGCCGTCAACATGTTGGCACGGTTTTGCGATGGCGATCACCTCATCTCACACCGATTGATTTTGAGCACTTCAAGCTAAATATGTATGCAAAACTCGGATACGACAGATTTTTCTTAATATTGTTTGGTATGCTTGCTTTATTGGGAGTGACAGTTACAGAATTGACGAAAATGACGTGGCCATGAAAAGGCAAATTTTACTTACTTTCGCTTTAGTGGTTCCAAAATTAATTTGGACGTGGTTGTTTCAGTAAAAACACATATCTTCCCATACGAATAGGTTTGTATTCACTTCTGTTATTCCTTTTTATCAACATGTTCACGTTATTGAAAAGAAAACGAGGAATGAATTGAACAGACATCGCATAAGGCTTGGAAAACCTCTGCCATGTTGAGGAATCATTGCGATTATGTGAGCGTTCTGGAAGAGAGGTTTCGATTATGTAAATGTGTGCGCTACAGAATGAACCAAAAAACTTGGGAAGAGGGCGGGCACGTGCAAAAAAATAAATGTAGTAGATTTGGCATACATATGAAGTTGCCACGACATCCTATCTGCTTTAAATTGCGGCCTACATAGTCGTCGCGCTGTCGTTAACATGATAAATAACATTGGAGGAGAATACTTACAACTAAGGCAAAAATCGGTCAAGGATTTTTCGACGACATGTCGAGGATTTTTGCCTGTACAATCACGCTCTCCCGCCGCGCGCGAGCCGTCTGTGCTCTCCGCGCGTGCATTCACTCTCGACACTACTCTCACATAGTAAAGAGCCATGGTCGAGGAATTCCTCGACCGTTATTTATCTTGCTTAACAACACAAATATTTGATTTCAACTTGGTTGACCTTTAAATTTAAATTCCTACAAACGTCCTTACTTCTGCGTTCCTGCTTGCTCCATTTCTCTGTTGCTGGAAAGCCGTTTTTGTCGAAGATCGTCGAGGTTGCTGAATAACTCAACTCAAAAAATATTAGGTTGTCCCATAATTAGTGAATCACTTTGGGTATTTTTGAATTCAAATTTTTTTCTTTTTATTCGAAGTCCTTGCTCATCCAAACATACACCTCTGTCATCTACAATGTATTGCCTATTCATGGGAATTTATTCGCTGTCTTTCCTCTGAAACTCAGGAGCTCTTGAACGAAGAAGGACTGGAAGTCGGGTTTGAGGTCGTATCACTTAGCGTAAAATTTCTTCTTGAAGAGAGCGCT